GATACATTGCAGAATGTTCGTCGTCTAGAAGATTATGTGAATGGCACTTTACCATCTAATGGTCGGCCATGGTTAGCATGTAATTACTTATTAATTCCATGCTTCTATCCGGGAAACAATTGGTATCTCTACCGTGTGAGTTTTCGAGAATGGAAATTCCAAATATATGATAATAGCCGTAGTGTTCATACCACACAAGAAGTCATGGATCATGCAGATGCAACATTAAATATCGTCCATTTATTATTACTGTCTGAACTTTCCGTTAGTCCAGTTATAAAGAAACATCGAAATAAGCGACCGGAAATAGAGATTATACCCTACTTACCTTGTACGAATAAAGAATATCATTTACTTACTTTTCATCTCACTTTTATTTTATAACTAATTTATTCTAATAAAAAAATTTCTCTTCTTTCATAGGCCAAATTGTGGAATTTTTGTGCTAAAAGTACATAGAGTGCTTGATTTTTGGATATCCTCTTGAATTAGTTTCTCCAGACAAAATGACTATATACAGGAAAAAGATGGTACTAGACATTTGCAGCAATCAATACTTTCTAAGACATCTTATGTCAATGTTCCAACTTAAATTCAATTGGAAAAACTTCCAATTCACAGTGTCATTTTTCAGCAGTGGTACTGGTTCATCAATTGCTAATATCAGGTAAAGTTGTTTATTTTACATTTTATCATTTCATACTTATCAATTTATGAAAAATAGGATTTTCTTGACTGTAATCAATTTCTGTATAAGTTGTAAAAAAACATCCCTTGGCTACCATCTATTATTTGTTCTAATCTCTGTCCAACACACTGATGAATTGCTAGCATGCTAAGAATTTATTAGATTAGGTGATGTAATACAGATCAAGGAGACTCAATTGGAATTGGGATGGTGAGGTTGCATATTGTTGAGTGAGCCCGGAGCAAGAGCCTCCTGTGTTGGAAAAGGAAGAACAGACGCCTCTGAAGAGTGAAGGAACTAAAGGAGATGAAAGTGTTTCACAATCTTCAACAGGTGACTATGCTTTGGAAGTTGTAGATGCTAAGATTGACAAGACTGAAAAGGTAATTCCAAAGGAGAAAACTGAAAATCAAAGGACCCTGAGTGCAAGGAGGTGAAGATGGACAATTGGCTATTTGACTTTGCGCAACTATTTCGTAGCCATGTCAGCATTGATCCTGATGCTCATATAGATCTTCATGAGCTTGATATGGAACTATGTTCTGAAGCCCTCGAGGAAACAGTTACAGCTGAAGCCGCCCAAAGCCTTTTCAACAAGGCTTCTCTGAAGTTCCAAGAGGTGGCTTCTCTGGCTTTTTTCAATTGGGCAAATTGGTCTTCATTGTATTATTCTTGTCCGTACTACATGAATTGCATAGCAAATTGTTCTTGGAACATTACTAACTTTCGTGAAATTTATGATGTTCATTCATTGCAATACTGAGGTACTATTGATGCTTTTGTCCAGGTTGGAGGCATGACTGCCTCAAGCTTAAATAGTTTACCCCGTGGAATCATCGAACCAAGGTCAGACTTGGAGTTAAAGCCTCTATGGACTACTAGTAGTACTAAGTCACAGGTAAACATTTGGTACTAATTTTCCGTGGAGTCAATATGCTGATTTCTTTTTTATTCCCCTGGATGGTGAGCATTTGTAATCCTTTGATTATGATTAGCCCTCA